ATTTTATTTTATTTTATTTTATTTTATTTTATTTTATTTTATTTTATTTTATTTTATTTTATTTTATTTACTGTACGGTATATTTTTATCGGTTTTAAGCAGCGATCAGGTCTTATCAAGCTAGGGAATTTATTGAGAAACTATCTCTTCACGTTACCGTCATTGTTTTTAGGGCGAAATTGGAAAGACGGGAAGTTCCGGAAGTGGTGGTGAAAAAGGAACTGCGGTAAGATTAGAAAGTTTAAGAATGGAGTCCACGGTCAACGGAAAAATTGCCCCTGATTTTGTTTGTTTCTTGAATACCTCAATCAATTCAGCACAAAATAGAAAAGCCTCTCCTATTCCATAAAAAAGGTTGAAATATTCTCATTTTAGTGTTCGAATGGCTGAAGGCAGACGACAAAAGCCTAAGTTTTGTTTCCTTTTGCCTTTTTTTAAACGTCATTCTTAATCTTTTAACTTGCATGTTATAAAGTTAAGTTTTGAGAGCAGCAGATATATACATATCACTGGTTGTAATTTGCACAACTGGCCACCCTAAGATTTTTTTTTTATTTTTTTATTTTTTTTTTCGATTTTTATTTCCTTGATTTTGTTACCACTTTTCCCTTTAGGGTCTTGCTGGACAAAGTGGAGGCCGAGGACGACAAGGCCCTACGGGTAAAAAGGTGAGAGGAGATCGAGTCTTACTACACTACTTCTTTAGGCAGCGAGACATTTTAGATGGGACATTATTGAAGCAGTGATGACCTGTTCATTCCACATGAGATTTTTAAGATCAGTATGCGGCCAGTTTTGGAGCGTCGCCATGAATTTTGCCATTTGCAATTGGAAATCAATCCATAGCGGCAAAGAATGAATGCTTATATGTATTAAAAAGTTTCCAAAGACAATCGCGGAAACTTACCTTAAGTAATCATCCCAAAGCTACATCTTCCTGCACCAGTACCTTACACTTTTTGAAGCCACACAATTCATCGAATTGAAATGTTTTGTTGGGAGTTTAAATGGGTTTTCAGTTTAATTTATGGAGAAATTTTGCAAATAGAGCACGTCAGATATAGTTCCGCATATAAAATATGCAATTCATTGAGGTAACTACAGTATAATATCGTGAGAAACTTAATTTAATGTTATTATTTTTAGGGAGGACGTGGTGCCGCGGGAAGTCGCGGAAGAATCGGTGAACGCGGCCAGCGAGTAAGTAGTGTTTCCCTTTTAGGTTTTTGTTGCAAGACGGTATTACCGCGCTAAAAGTTTCCTGTGTAGCCCATGGCTATTCCCCCCAGGGGCGCTGGTATTATTCCTAATCAACAAAATAAAAGGAAGAAAAAAAAACCTCACGTACTAAAAGCAGCACATAACATGAACAATATAAAATTGTCTAGAAATGAATACGATGATTTTACCCGCTTGACGATTCTTTGGTATTTTTATGCCAGTGACATTGTCTCGATTCACCCATGTAGTCTAAAATTAACCGACATTTTCATTCTCAGGGAATGCGTGGTGGTGAGGGATTCCCTGGTGGCCCAGGTCAGCCAGGAATAACGGTAAGGACACACATCTACTTCGTACGTGTTTTAAAATTACAAGAAAATGCATATCAACCGTTCTGGGTTTATAATTAGGTTTATTATCAGGTATACAGCGGTTTCAATTGAGCGTCGAGAGCCATCAGGCAATTACTTTGGTTTTGGTTTTGGTTTAACTACGGTGTGAGAGTGGTTGAGTAGTCTAATTGGTAAGTAATTGGTTTGGTTTTGGTTTACGAAACTCAGTTGAAAACCGTTCTGCTAACTGAAGGTCCCACCGTATATTTATAGCGCGAGAATTAACCTCTTCATCCAAATAGTTTTTCTTTGCTGTTTCGTAGGGACCTACTGGCAGTCGTGGAACAAGAGGAGCCAGAGGTGAAATAGGAGGACAGGTAGTGTGTCAAGACAAATGTTCTATTTATGCTTGTTTTCTTGTTTATCAGTCTGTTTGTTTGTTTGTTCGTGTTACACTTTTTTCACTTTTTTTTATTTTTCTCTGTCGTTTTTAGGGAGAAGGAGGTTTACAAGGCCCACCAGGAATATCCGGAGAAAGAGTACGATTTTGCAACAACGTAGTGGCATAAGCATTAGAATCAGCTACACTTGGTACTGTAGATTAATTACCGCTTGAGGTTTTACAAGCAGAAAAAAAAACAGTGACAGTTAACCTTCCAAAGGATTTAAACAAATGATAATCTTGGCAGCGGTGCGATGCCCTATCAAATGAGCTTTTATGGCCACGCTGGAGGCCAATAGCGAGCTTTATAATGATTTAATTCTATTGCATACATCAACACGATAACATATGTAAAACAAACAAACGAACAAACGAAATCTATTGAGTAGAAAGCGTATAAGTGCAATGTTCTTCACGGTAATGAAGGAATTTTCATTTGATAAAGAGAAGCAAATGAAAATCAAAATTTGTAGTTTTGCATTTTCAACAGTAAAAATGATTGTTTTGTTTTGTTTTGTTTTGTTTTGTTTTTTTTTTTCAGGGTCGTGAAGGACGACCCGGGCAGGATGGACAGGCGGGGTCGCCAGGAGAAGGGGTATGTTATTAGATGTCTTGATTCTGTTAACTCTGGGATGACGGGGATCATTTTGACTCAGATTACTGTATGTTCGACTGTAGCCTGCGAACAGGCTCCCGGCGAGGACGGAAAAAAAATTCGGCGAGCGCGAAACAGAAGAATTCAGCGAGCGAAACAGTTGGGATGGGACAGTTCGGGCTCGCCGGGAGCCTGTTCGCAGGCTAGTTCGACTGTTGCTCGAAGTATTTTACCAACATAATCAGAGGAACGAGGGAATAAGCTTATTGCAGGACCATATGGCTGTTCGTCTTGCCTTGTTTAGTTGCCATATTTTAAAAACAGAGAAGGATTTGTTGAAAGGATCAGTCACACAAGTCCTGCAATTTAAACACTGACCGTACAACCCCCAAACATTAACCTTGGGAGATATTGGGCTAGAATTGTATAGATATTAAAAAATTGTAAAGCTCAATACATCCCGAAAGTATGCTTTTTTTGAATCTTTGACGAGCAAGTCGCGTGACTACTTGAAGTATAGTTAAATATATTAAGTCTTCGAAAAAAAAGTTTACCCAGTGCTAGTAGATTACAGAGAATGTTGGGTAACCCCCTGCTGTATTGATAACACAAATTAAAGTATGAATGGGAGTAGCTATTCTCGTAGACTGCGAGCAGCCCCTTTTTTCCTCGAAAATCCGTGGAGAAGAACGCAAAACAAGTGAGCGTGACGTGCGAGCAGCGAGATATCACGCTCGTACGCTCACCACCCGACTGGGGCTCACTTGTGTTGTGTTCTTGTTTGCGTTCTTCCTCACGGATTTTCGAGCAAAAGAGAGACTGCTCGCGATCTACTGTTTTCGTTTAGTTGTTGATGATGACATGTATTGTAACTGTTCTCATAACAGGATGAAAAGGGAGACGATGGAGTAACAGGAGAACAAGGAGGGAAGGTAAAAAGACGAAATTCGATAGGAATTAATCAATTTCAGTTTTTAATGGACAAAAGCCTGTAACAGAATAACGTTTAAGTATATTAAAAACCTTTTTGCATTTTTCAAAAGTCAAAGATATAAATAATTGCTTGAAATAATATCAAAAACAATTTCCCATGGGAACTCGAGAAAATAAATTTCAAAGTTCAGAGAAATTGTGCAATAACAGGTAAAATTTCATGATCAGTTTCATTCCACCAGAACTTTCAAGTGTTTCGATCATTTGAACTTCAAAATTTGTTTTCGACATTTGCTGTTGTTAGAAATTATTTCTTTTGTGAAGATATTTAAAACAGTCGCACAGAAGTTTGTAATATGATGTAAATCATTTCGGTACAAGGTTTTTGTCCACTTGTTACTCGAACGTTTGGTGAATTTCTTCTTAACTTCATTGCAACCACCCTACTGAAGCCTTTGACAGTACAAAATCAAATGGTATACTACTTGCGCTGTTTCTTCTTTGACCAAGTGGGACCTGATCGTTCAATAATACCCTTTCTGTCATCTCCTAGGGCCCTTCCGGAGAACAAGGAATCGTTGGACCTGTCGGTTTGAAAGGCAGCATGGTAAGTTAGAAAGGTTTTTACAAAGGAACACTCCGTAGGTGTCTTTGTCCTTGATTGAATTTGATCTGTTATTATTCACTTCAGTTTTTTTTTCTTTTCTTTTTTTTTTTTCTTTTTTTCTTTTTGCTTTTGTCAGAACACTCCACTATTCAGAAATTACACATATTTACTCCAAATAATACTCCAAGCAAGACTGGTTGTCAAATTTCATGAAATAATTACTCTGCAAATTGACAATCCCCTTCTTACAGCACAAGGAGAAATATCGGGCGCTTTCCATTCGACCAAACACTCTAGTGTGAATTCCCAGAAATTTCCAGTGTTGAATAGAGCACTGCGAATAGAGCATTTTGTGGAATTTCCGGAAGAGAGAAAAACCTTGAGAGGTATACCCGAATTTTCGGAAATTTGATACCGAGAATTCCCGTTCCATTTTATTTTGCTCCACGATTTTCCGAGAGCATCTTTCGTACATTTCGGTAACTCTATTTCAGCATGATCGGTCCGGAAACTTTCCGTACCATTTCAGTCCCATTTGCTTCCGTTTCGACAGGGTTGGTCGTATGACAAGCGCCCATCGCCATAGCCTGTACATAAGTGAAGCCCCTGACACATTATTTCGAGAAGGCAACAGTTACTCATTAACAAAGGAGAGTTTGAGTTTTATTTCATCTTATTATCATAGGGCTTTGAAGGAAAAGTTGGGAGTCAAGGAGAAAGAGGGCCGGCTGGGGCAAAGGTAAATAACGAGAGATTTTGAAGATTTTCTTCGTCTCTAATGCTTCAGTGAGAATGGAAGAGATGCACTCTTGAAACCGGCGTGATTCTCTAAAAGATATGGAACAAAACACGAGAACCTGTTTAAAAATAAACACAGTCAGGCGCTTTACGGTTTACTTTATCTCTCTCATAGTTCTAGATATGATGTCATTTTGCGTAAGCCAACATCGAGTTTGATTTTACCCATGAAATAAACTGAAAATAGACAATATACACAGTACGGCGTAACATAACGGAGATGCTGTTGTGTGTTTTCTTCTTTCTTCGTCTTAATCTAGGGTGACTCGGGGCCCCCAGGAAGTCAAGGAGAACGAGGAACCCAAGGAGGAGAGGTAATGGCCTAGCCACGACACGAACGCTTTCGTGGTACAGTGGAATCCCGCCTTAGGGTCACTTCGTTAATTATTGCGGCCACTCTTTTTGGTCCCGGCGAAATGCCCATAAATTTTTTCTTATTAGAAAACCCCGTTAATACGGCTAACGGTCGCGTTCTGAAATCCCAACCTGTACAATCCTTAATCCTTTATTTTACCCGTTTATACGGCCACTCAAACCAGTTATGTTCATCTTTCCATTGTTAATATTGCCCACACTGATTCAAGTCTCGATATTTTCTAAATATATCCATATTCCGGATGCTTATTAAGGAACATTTGTTTAGAAGTGGAATTGTGATATATCTGTTAAGACGACACTCAATGTAGACCAGTCGAGCGGTGTGACCTTATCCCGTTAATACGGCCAAATGTTCATGGCCCGTTGGTGACCGGATCAACTGGGTTCCACTGCAGCTGGAAAACACCTTTAAACGTGACTTACTAATAGCCTCTTTTGTCTGCCACAGGGTACCCAGGGTGCACCAGGCTTACCGGGAACAGATGGTGAAACGGGAGAAATGGTGGGTGCTTTTTAGCTTGTTTTGATTTGAACTTTCCTTGAAAGTGATACCTGAACCTTCATTGATTCCAAATATCTTGCATACATTAGGGACCGGACGGAATTGATGGTGATGTCGGATCAGTGGGGCAGAGCGGCCGGCAGGTAAGCATATTGAGCAATCTGTTGTTAGTCATAGTCAGGCGCCTGGATCCCACCCATTTGCAAAATGGCGATCACCCAAACACCAACAGGCAACCTTTCAATGTCTAACAGAAGATAAAACCATACTTTTAACACATTTCAAAAAAAACTGAAAGGTGAAATCCCATTCATACCACATTACTTTGCTAAACAAATACACTGGCAGACACATTTGTCGCTTAGATTATTGACTATTGTAAAACATATATTTGAGACAATGCTCAAATATCTACGATAAGGTTGACACTACCGCAATTAGCTCAGTACTTCACTAAAAGTTGTTGCTGTTTGTTGTTGTTTCTTTTTATTTAATTTGTTTTTGTTGTATTTACGTCTCCGTACTGCTGTAAAGTTCATAGTTGACATTTAAGCTTTATTTTGACCGAAAAGTTTACAGTATATAATGTAAACATTTGTTTCTGATTGGAAGCCTTTGTTACAACGCTTCTGCAGGGAACCAAAGGTAGTTCTGGCTCGAACGGAAGACCTGGACAAAGGGCAAGTATATATTGTACTCGCATGAATTAGTCTCTGGACGTGACGCAGGTATTTGAGACAACCCAACGCAATACTCAAGTATTTGGCTACGTCAACATCTATTTTCTTTTTCCATTTTCTTTATATTTGATCTGCCTTCATCTCGAAACTTGTCCTCGACCGTTATGATTTTAGGCGTTAACTTTCTCGCAATGTCAAATAGCGATTTCTATTTTGGAGATCTGGAAAATGCACCATACCAAAATTCAAACACAACCTATGCCACATGACTAACCGAGTTATGCCCAACTCTGCCCAACTCTTTCAGCTGATTGGCCTCAACCGAGGTTTTAATAACAGTAACCACGACCGTTTGAAAAATAACTGCGGAAAAATAAACGGAAGGGAAAGGTTTCTTAAACATTACAATAGGTATTGATAGCGTTTCTCTATGATTGGAATGGTAACAGAGCTCTGTACTTTATGAAAAATAATAACTTATTTATTTTACATAGGGAAAACCCGGTAACGCTGGTCTAGTTGGAATTCGTGGAGATGAGGTAAAGTCTCAGCTACTTGAAACACACAAACTTAGTGTTACAGCATCAACAATCTCGTTTTCGGGGTCTCTCATGTTCCCGCCGTTCCGGGGCGAGACAGGAAAGACCCAGGGCCTTTCTCTGTTCCGCCTCAGGGGACGGGAAGAAGAGAGACGCTGGAAACGAGGTTGCAGCATCAATTATCAGTTGGTCATACTGAAGAATAGTGTAACTTAGGAGAAAGCATTTCAGTATCCGATTAACCGTCAATTTTCTACTGAGCTGAGCACATGAGGTCTAATTGCGTTTGCTGTTTCTTGTTGTAAACACAGGGCTTGCCAGGTAGACCTGGAGATCAGGGAGATCAAGGAGGCTTGGGAAATTCCGTATGAAAGATCTTTGCATATTTGTTTTCATGTCACGTTTTGCCATGCTTACGTCATACTGCAATTTGAAGAAAACCAATTCTTGACATGTGCTTATTTTGCACCTTCATTAGCTTGTTTGCAATTGTACACTAGCGTAAGTTAAAAAATCGAACGACCACCAAAATACAACAGGTTTATCAGTGCAAGGCTTCAGCAGAGTGTAACTCGTACTGCGACTTATATAACATTTAATTCCTACAGGGTGTAACGAACGGTAATACGGTAAATTGTCGTTTATAAACCCTGGGCTTGTACAACTTGGCAAGGGGGTTTAGATGGGCTTATATATATAGACTTATAAACGGAATGGCTTATATCCGAGGGGGTTTATAAACGGAATAAAAAATATCGTATCGAAATAAGTTATAGCTGCAGAAGTTAATCGAAATAGGTTTTTCGTTTACTGGTAATTGAACTTTAAAACATCATAATAAAACGAATTCAAAATAAAAGGAAAGCTAGAGGGGGACTTATATCGGGGGAAGATAACCGCATGTAATTTTTGATTTACAGGTAGATGGGCCTATCAACCGGGGGTGGGGCTTATAAGCGGCAGTTTCTTGTTTGTTCCAAAAACAAGCCATCAAAAATTACACTCTAGCTAACGGAGCTGTCTACAATTCATTGTTGTTAATTAATTATTCCACTGACTTAGGGGAAACGTTTTCATTCATCGTTTATCAAGCTTCATTGCTGATTTTGATAGGGTGAGATTGGACTTGTCGGCGAGGCTGGCGTTCAGGGATCTCGAGGAATAACTGTAAGTGATTTATCAAACGTTTCATATTCAAATATTTTGTTTGTGTAAGGTGTCTGTATGAAGTGTCGCCTCACCACATATGAAATGCACTTCTACTCTCCTTAGGGCGTGGCTGGGCCTGCTGGAGCTGTTGGAATGGCAGGAAGGAAAGGAGAAATTGTATGCTTCGTCCCACAATTATTTTGATTTATTAAGATATTTTTTCTCCATTTACATTGTAGATGCTTAATATTTTATAAATAATAATTATATATTGAAAGGGTGAGGCTGGACCAAGTGGCAGAGGCGGGAGACCTGGCCCTAGCGGACAACCGGTAAAGTATTTCATCAATGACATATTAACCCGTTAAATCCCCTTAACAAATCCCTTTTCTTCCATATTTATACATCGCTGTCCATATTTGAAAAATATTGATAAATGTAAATCACAGACATTTACACCTTTGCATTATTATATGGCTGTGTCTTACAAGGACTGGGGACCACCGAATTCACGAATTTGATTGGCTGAAATCGATGTTGACCGCGGTCTAGATTTTCCCATCTTGACCGGCATCTAGACCGGTTACATTTTACGGTGAAAAAGTTGCAAACTAAAATAACAAAAATATTGACTATTTCCTCCCAAAAATAATAACTTATGGGAGTGCCAAAAAGCCTGATGAGAAAAAAAAAAAGTAAAGAGGACGAGCAGACTTTGGAAGATTTAAGTTCAGCTCATCGCCGTTCGCAATCAAAATGTCAGCTAGTACAAACTAGTTTCATTAAACGAATAAGATTTTTCTTGTTTTCCATATAATAAACATCTTATTAATCGAGCTTAGTCGGTCTGTATGGGAAAATCTTGACCTCGGTAGTGTGTACAGACCACACTGCGTTCGGTCTCTACTTGCAACCTTGGTCAAGATTCTCCTATACCGACCTCCTGCTCGGTTAATAAGAGCTAAACAGTAACCAGGTGATATTTGTCATTAATTTCAGGGACCTAACGGCGAACCCGGAGGACAAGGAGAGGTCGGGCGAAGTGGACCACCTGTAAGTTTGAAACAGTATTGAAGGAATAACAATTATGAAACTATTAATAATCAAGTTAAGCTAATCAAGCTATGTCAAGAGACCACGATCATTTTCTCTTGGTTATGTTTAATTAGGTTTAAAGGAGGAAAGAACGCTCTCTTAAATATCACTTTTGTGTCTAATGCGAATACGCAGAAAGACACGAAGAGGGGAGAAAACGTTTGGCAACTTGTCGATAAGGGATCGCTTATCGCCTGTACGTTTGAAACAGTATTAAAGGAATAAAATTAACATTAGAGTGACGGNCCCCCCCCCCGAGGTGTTAAAAGGATAATGATGATGAGTATTATAGTATTTCTTAATCAAGTTATGAGACACAGTTTTCTGAGGAGGAAAGAAAGTTTTGAATATCATTTTTATTTAATCTACCCACACGTGAACGGCTCAAAGCTTCAGGAATCCGAAATATCATCTGTACGAAACCAAGCAATGATTTGCAAACATTTCTCTTTTTTAACTTCTAGCGCTCATTTAAATATTTCCACACCCACGAATTCTCACCAGGGTATGTGCAATGGAGTTTCATGTCATTTGACACTGAAAATTATATAGAATGATTCGCTGATTAAAAAAAACAATAAAAAAAACTTCTAATTATAATGATTCCAATGAACCGATCAGCTTCCAGCAAAAATAGAAAAAGAAGTGCATGAAAACAAGTGTTAGCCAATTCAAAGTGCTGACCAGCAAAACAAGCACGTAATTACACGAGCAGGTAGTAAAAATTCTGATTACTACGTTTCAGGGAGGTTCAGGCTCGACAGGTGGCCCTGGAACTCCCGGAGAGAGCGGCGAAGATGTAAGTCTTACTCCTGTCCTTTATCGACATTTGTTGTTGTTGAATCTAGTTTAATGATTGTGATCATCTCGATTGTGCAACTGTCTATCTTCTGAAGAGGCGATCAGAGGAAACCAAAGAAGGTTATTGCCTGGAAGAAATCTCGCAAATATTTCACACAAAAAAAATAGCAACACAAAAAAGACTGAACACAGAACTTTGGGTCAGGAATGAAATATTAAAAACAAAACGATCTTCGAACAAATTATATAAGAATAAGAGTTATGATACCCTGTATTACCAAAAATAGAACACACTCGTTCAAAATCTCCCACAGGTTTAAAAGCTATTTGCATATTTCGAGTTACCGTTTGTCACTGCTGTTGTTTTTACAGTCCTGCCTTAGTCATCTGCTTTGGTAACTTTCTTTGATTTGAAGACACTTTTCAGGGGCGGATCCAAGATTTTTTCAAGGGGGGTGCCTGGTACCCTAAGGGTTGCAGAATCAATGAGGCATGTTCCCAAAATGTTGCAATTTAAGAATCGGAACCTAGTTGAAAACCGTTTCTCTAGAAATACTGGCAATGCCACAAAGTAGAAATTACAATGAGGTACCTG